CACTTAACCGACTGAGCCACCCAGGCTTGATTCAATTTCTTTTCGTAGATGTAGGCCTATTCGAATTATCTACCTCTCCTTGTTTGGGTTTGGTAGACTGTGTCTTTCAAGAAATTGGTCCATTTCATCTAAGTTATCAAATTAGTGGGCATAGGGTTATTCATGATACTCCTTGATAATCCTTTTAATGTCCATGAGATCAGTAGTGATGACCCCTGTTTCAATTTTGATATTAATAACTTTAGTCTTCCCTTTTCTTGGTTAGCCTGGCTAGAGATCTATCAATTCGATGTTTTCAGAGAACCAGCTTTTGGTTTTATTCATTTTCTATGTTACTGTTTTCACTTTCACTAATTTCTGTTAGAGCAGAAATTGGAATTTTTATTTTTTCTCTCTTTGGATTTAATTTGCGCTGCTTTTTCTAGTTTCCTAGCTTAGATTATTTTATATCTTTCATCTTTTCTAATATGTATTTAATGCTATAAATTTCTATTTTTTTCTTTTTTTTAAAAATTTTTTTTGAGAAAGAGAGAGCTTGAGCAGGGGGAGGGGCAGAGGGAGAAGCAGACTCCCCGCTGAGCAGGGAGCCCGATGCGGGACTCGATCCCAGGATCCTGGAATCATGACCTGAGCTTAAGGCAGACGCTTTACTGACTGAGCCACCCAGTGCCCCTTAATTAAGCTATAAATTTCTAAGTACTGCTTTTGCTGCATCTCACAAATTTTGATAAACTATTTTCATTTAGTTCAAAATATAATTTCTCTTGAGACTTCTTTGATCATTGTGATTTTAGACGTATGTTGTTTAATCTCCAGATGTTTTGGGATTTTTAACCATTTTCTGTTGATTTCTAACCTAATTTTATTGTGATCTGAAAGCATACTTTGAATAATTTGTTCTTTTAAATTTGTTAAGGTGTGTCTTATGGCCCAGAATGTGATCTGTCCCGGTGAGTGTTTCATGTAAGCTTGAGAAGAATGTGTAAAGTACGAAATGGGTTTCACCAGGACCAAATCAAGGTGTCTGTAGGGCTGCACTTCCTCTGGAGTCTCTAGAGGAGAATCTATTTCCTTGCCTTTACCAGTAAGTTTCTAGAGGTTGCCTGCATTCTTTGGCTGATAGCTCCTTCCTCCATCTTTAAAGTGCATCACTCAAACTCTGTTTTGTTTTTTAAGATTTTATTTATTTATTAGAGCATGAGCCGGGCGAGGAGCAGAGGGAGAGGGAGAAGCAGACTCCCCGCTGAGCAGGAAGCCCGACATGGGGCTCCATCCCAGGTTCCAGGGATCATGACCTGAGCCGAATGCAGATGCTTAACCAACTGAGCCATCCAAGCGCCCCTTAATCTCTGTTTATGTGGTAACATTTCCTCTCTTTTACTGATTCTCCTTCATTCCTTTTTAAATGACTCTAGTGATTACATTTTCCCCAGCTGGATAATCCAGGATAATCTCCCTATCCAAAATTTGTAACATAATCATATCTGTAAACTTCCTTACACCATATAAGGGAACACATTCATAGGTTCCAGGGATTAGGTGTGGACATCTTGGGGGCAGAGGTGTGAAGGGCATTATTCTACTAGCAGGGTAGTAGAGTCAGGATTTGAACTCAGTAAGCCTGCTCTTGGAACCACTTGTCTGCTTTTTCTGGCTTCCCTACTACCATTTACATCTAAGTGTCTTCTCTGTACTGTGTTTTAATTGTCTTTGTTTACCTTTCCCACTAGGATGTGACTCTTCTGAAACAGGACATAGAGCATTTGAACAAAATGAGTTCAGATAAAGGAAATTATATGAAATGATGAGGTATCAGCAACAGAGAGAATAACTCATTTGAATCTCCAGCCTTTTAAGGCTATATGCACATCTGACTTTTACAGTTAACCTCCAGTTACCTCCTAATGTTAATATAAATTAAATATTAAAATAAGTATATGCATATATATATCTAAATTTAAGTAGCCTGCTGTGGCTAGTGCCTACTATATTGGATAGCACAGCTCTGTAATCTCTACCATTCCACCAAAATGCTCTTAGAGAATTTTAATGCAAATGCTAAAGATGGTTTGTCTGAAATGAAAATTCTCCTAACAACTTACATTGCCTTAATTTTTGTTTTCTCTGGAACACCAGGGTGGCTCAGTCATTAAGCATCTGCCTTCTGCTCAGGTCATGATCCCAGGATCCTGGGATTGAGCCCCTCAAAGGGCTCTTTGCTCAGCAGAGGGCCTGCTTCTCCTTCTCCCACTCCCCCTGCTTGTGTTCCTGCTCTCGCTATCTCTCTGTCAAATAAATAAATAAAATCTTTAAAAAAAAAAAAAATTGTTTTCTCTTTTTGTAGGCACAGAGGTAAGGACTAAATGATATACGTTTTAGAGGAGTTTTATGTCATTATGAGCAATTTTAGATAGAACAAACTTGCTAGACACTCTTCTTCCAGTCACTGAAGAACGTTTTAGTAAAGATCCTTGATGGTTTTATTTTGTCATTTTCCTTTACTCCTAGAAATACTTCGTGAGAATTTAACTATTGTCATAGGATAATAAAGTATTGTGTGAAACCACATTTGGGTAGTGTTTTCATTACCCTAGCAAATTTAACTACATTTCTATGCAGTTTATGTAAACCCCACCCATACTTTAACCTGCTTCCCATTTTGATGAGGTTCAATCAGGGGAAAAAGCAACAACAAAAAAATCTTCCTGTGTGGCCTGTAGATATCAGATCTGAAGATTATTAATGCATTTCCAGCCAGGGACCATAAGCAAACAAGCTCTCCTACAGATAACTACACCCTTCCTGTTTGGGATTGAGTTTACTGTGGAACAGATTTCGGAAATAGGTTTCTGACAGTTGTGACTTTTATTTATAAAATGTTGTAGGGTGAGGTTCTTCCTTTAACAAAAACTAATTATTTCCTGTCTAATGCCCAACCAGTACGTTTTAAACAGTCTTTTAGAAAATTTACCACTTCGAGAGAATTCTGTTGCTCTGGGCAGTTCTGGTTGTTCTTGTCAACTAATGTACAAACATTTGCCTGTTACAATGAATAATTCATAAAGGACTTACAATTAAAAATAAAACACAATCTTTAAATGCTTGTATTATCTTGTCTCCAGAGTGATAGTTTACAGTTTAAGTAAACACATGAACACATTTTAATGTGTTTGTACCTTTGATATGCAAATCTGTAGCACATTTATGTTCAGTAAATATGCTAAACGAAGAGTTACAGTTTAGGGAAAACAGCAGATTTACATTAAAGAATTTGCAGGTTAATTCATAGAGTAACATTATCCTCATCTACTACATCTGTTAAAAAGAAGCCTGTAAAATTCAGGCCACCCACAAAGTGGTCTGCTGAGGCCTGTGGTTGGTGTTAGAATGCTGTTATTATGTGGGCTGACTGGTTTGGTAAGGAATTTACCTCCACTAGGAATGAAACATCATGGTTCTGACTTTCCCCCATGGGGACTGCATTGGCTTGACTTAGGTACTATGTTTAAACCAGTCAATGTGCTCTGTTGCCTTGACATCATATAGTAGTATCATATGAATGGTGTACTGTTTTCTAAGTTTGTTAGAGTAGTAATACCAGTTCTGTACCACGTAAACCTTAGGATAAACTGGGATAAATGGTTGGTGTAGATAGCTGAGAATTAAACTTAATGGCTATTATGATTAAATCTTATCACACACAAACATATGGGAGCAGGGGCTGAGATGGAGAAAGTAGCTAAGTTTTTACATATTTCAATTTCTGTGTTCATTGAAGAACTTACTCTTAATTTCCTTGGGGCTTGTGGAATGGTTTTTAAGAGCAAGGAAATGAATTTAGTACAATTTAGCAACCAAGGACTGCGAGTTAAAATTAAATATTCTTCTTGAAATAGCTATTGTTAAGGGATAAAAAAGTATTGCAGACATTTAAAAAATAACAGCAGCAACTACCACAAGAACTAGTAGTGATCACTGGAGGAATAAAAACTCATAAGCCAAGTAGTGTCTCATCTCAAATCACTTCTTTCTAAAGTTTTTCAAAATGAATAAATCCTTTTTCAGAGAATAAGCATGTTATATTGTTTTTGTTATATTTAGAAAAATTAAAATTCATGTAACAGTTCTTTAAAATCAGGTAATTTGTATTTCACTTTTCATGGATACTTAACTGTAATTTTTCTTTAAATACATGAATTAAAGAGTATGAGAAATAGCATAGAAATCTAAACTGCATTTTGTGACTACAAATCAAGGAAATGATATTTAGTGGGGAGAAAACCTAGCAATTTTTGGACAGGGAATAATATCTAAGTGCCATTGATAAAAATTATATATACATATTGAAGTAAAAAAATATATATATACACATACACATGTATACATGTGTATGTGTATATATGTGTGTGTTTATATATACATATATGTGTATACACATAAAGGAACATCTGTATATAACATTGTTTTGATCTTAACTCTGCCTTGGTGACTTTAATTGTGGTTAAATATTTATAACTTAAAAAGTTTTTTTCAAATAGATACTTTAGTCTTTTGTTTGTTGTATACTAAGCAAAATTTTGAATTTGTCATCTGTTCATGATTCAAAGAATCTAAAGTTAGGGGCTTAGAAACTTTTTTCTTCCAAACAAGCAAATGAATAAAGCCATGAATGTGCCTTAGCAAGCCTTTGTTCTTAGTTCTTCTCTAGTCTGATGTCCTTTTAGTAGACTGCCTAATGCTGACAAATGCCATGCCTAACTTCTGTAGTCAGTGATGTGGCATATCGGTGTTTTTCTACTCATTCACGTTGTCAGCAAATCTCAGAAATAGAGGCTTAAATAGCATTTGACAGTAGTGACTACTCAAGGGTGAGGGAGGTTCAGTTGTATTATTGTATCTCCCTTTTAGCTTTAGCGTCATCATTTTGCTAACTGAATCAGCTCAGTGTTTGGCTAATTATTTTTACTCTTAGCTAACCACAATATATTTCACCTTTCTAGATTTACCGACAAGACTGTGAAACTTTCGGGATGGTTGTGAAAATGCTGATTGAAAAAGATCCTTCATTAGAAAAGTCTGTACAATTTGCATTGAGACAGAATTTACATGAAATAGGTGAGCGGTGTGTTGAAGAACTCAAGCATTTCATTGCAGAGTATGACACTTCTAGTCAAGATTTTGGAGAGCCTTTTTAGAAAATTACTTGCTCAGGCAACAAAAATGTTTCTAGCAGTTTGTTTGTTTTTTTCCCCTGGATTGTGTAAATCCTTAATATATGGAATTTTTGTGATGAAGAGAAATACTTTGATAGTTGACTACATTTCCAGTGTCAAGTAAACATCTAAAACAGTCTAAGATATTTTAATTAGAATTTAAAAATCTACATGTAGAGCCTCGTAATCCATACTTCTCTTTTTCCCCCCTAAAATGATGGGTCAGTTAATTTTTCAAGCTTTGAAAAAGCAGTCCTGGAGAACAGCTCATGTTCTCTTGTCTTCTATAGTATGCGATCATTTGTTTTGGTCACACTAGTGTAATTTATTAGGTTAGAGATCATTCCACTTAAAACATTTATAGTCTTTTTGCATTTCATAGTCAGTGATACCATGTGAAATGTTAGAATTCTGAGTTGTGATTTTATTGACTTGTTGCTTGCTTATTTTAGGCTTTGTAACTTTTAATATGTTCAAGTATACTATCCAAATAAACTGAATACTTAAGCGTCTATAGAATATTTGCTTTGAGATTCTCATTGTGATAAAATACAGCACTTAAATCTCAAAAAGACCTCATAATAAAATCCTATTTTCCAAGTAAATGAACTCAATGTTTTCTGTTAAAATAATCCCGAAACTCCTAACCATTCTCACAGATATGAGTCTTAAACAGTATCATATATAAGAAAGAGAAGGGACAATTTGAAATAAAAGAGAGCTCTTTTCAAATTGAGGTTTCTTTAGAATCTTCTAATCGAAAGAGAGAAATTTAGAATATGAGGGAGTAGTACTGGAGTTCCATTTTTTCCCCAGGCCCATATTTTTCATCTCAAAAAAGAAGGTCCTTGATAATATATCCATAATCAAACCATTTACAGATGATGCCTTTGTTAATCTGTTTGTAGTCTTAACAAGATCTTTGTTCTGATGCCCTTTTTAGGGGTCCTCAAAAGTGTCCTTTAAAGAAACAAAGCAGAGTAGGCAGTAAGCCCAGCACAATTACCCCTCACCAAGCAGTTTATGTAAACAGTTCTTCATGAGTGAGCCATCCAAATCACGAGTTAACTGGGACCATTAGGATATTCCACTCATTTCCTGATCCCTTCCAGGTGACCAGTGGCATTTAGCCAAAATATGTATTTCTGTGGCATTAGGAAACCTTAAAAATCATGCTTGTTATTACTACCCAGTTTCATTATCCCCCCATCCTCTTTCCATTTCCATTCTCTTCTCACTTAAATTCTGATGTTATCTTTAGTGGCCTATATTGATAATATCTAAAGAGCTACCCCAGAAGAGATAAAAATTATATTAAAAGGAGAAACAGCAGTACATTTGGTGAATCCTATAATGTGTATTATGCCATTCCACAAATGTAAAAACTACTTGAACACAATTATTAAGTTTTCTATATGAGATTGCCTTGAACTCTTATTTTTTGCCATTTAGATATTGTACATAAAACTAAACCCCACATGTCATCTCTGGTAGTCTAATTCCCTAATTATGAACAGTGATTTTATTTGTTACCCACTTAGACCAAGAAAGTACTGATATTGTTTCTTCGCTTACCCCCTTGTTTTTCTTTTCCTTAAATATTCTGATTCCAGGATTTAATTCCTGTAGTCAAGATGTCACAAGTTTAAAAATAAAAGTTAAGACACTACCACCAAGGCAAAGGATTTGTACATTTTGTTGAAATTCATTAAACTGGAAATTCATTCAACTAGAGGTTTTACTTACAGACTCATTTAAATGTAGGTTCAACCAATACTTTCTTCTTCTCCCCTTCCCCAAATTACATTCAACATTTAAAGCTGTTTATAGCTTGCCATCACCATTGTTCTGGTAGGCTTGTCAGTGTTAAATCTGTTTGTTTTTGACAGCTTTTTAAAGACCAATTTTAGGATAGTTGAATTCAGATATGTACCAGAGTGTGTATTTTGCAAAATGTTCTTGATTAAAGAAATTTGTAAATTATCCATTGTTTTTGAGTTATGCCCAATTGATATGATAAATTTTTCATTGTCTTACCATAAAGCCTTGATGATCAACAGGGGGAAAGCACTATTGTGAAGCTTTTTGTGAATTTTAAAAGTGCAAAATAAAGCAACTAGGTTTAAATAATTGGATTGTCTTTTTTTCTCTTTAACAGGCTTAAAGTATTTTCCTGAAATGTAGACTTTTATTACTCTCTACTGCAAGAATACTCAATGTTCAGTTTACCTACTCAGCAGCAGGATGGAAGAACTGAGAAACCATTAACTTTGGTGACTTAAGGTGTCTTGATATCTGAGCAAGCAATTAAATGAGATAAGATTGAGCACACAGAAGTGCTCAATAATTGTGTTATTACGAATCTAAGTTTCAGAAATAGTAGGATTAAAATCCTATCTCTGTATAGTAACCTCTGGAGGAACCACATCTTTGTGACCCAATTCCTAGCACAGTTTGGAATGTTGTATGTACTTGTCTTCATTGACACTTCACAAAAGAAGTGACATTTGACTCCTAGGTCTTGGAGGACTAGGACTTTCAGGCAGAGAAGGGGACGTAATAGAAGTCTAGGAAGAGGGGAATGGTATAGGGAAAGATACAGGCCTGTATGACTGAAGCTGGTTGGGAAAGATGATGGGCAACAAATGTAGGAAAAGATAGGTTGACAGCAGAATGAATGATTCTGAGTGCTTGTAGCTTTATCCTTTCTCTCCTAATTATTCAAGAATAACATTTGAAAATACTACCTTTGAAAATATTACCTTTATGTTTATTTTTGCCAAATATATTGATTTCTCACAGCCCCTCAGCCACTTAGCAACTGAGCCGGTTTATAGACCCAGAACCTCTTGAAGAAAGGGGAAGCTGACTCCCCTTCAGAAAGGGCTCCGCATGCACTGCCCAAATATTATACACTGGTTTCAGCTTCATTTCAGAATTGCCTGCAAGGGAACCTAAACTCCAAAGAAAGCTGTAACAGTTCTTTGGTGCAACTTTGGAGATGATGATCTTGTCATCCCTGAAGTATTCATGGTGGACAGTATTCAGTGTTGAGGGCAGCCGGCCCCCCAGGTGACTTTATAACTGTAACACTGCTCAGCCTGGCACCTGGAGCTCCTGTGAGTAATGGCCACACTCTGCTGGCCAGACCAAGGTTTGCGGGTGATACACAATACATTTACCATCTCCTTCCTGCCTGTTCTCTTGAGAGCACTGATGTTACTCAATTCAGTGGGGGGAAAAAAAGGTGGCGGCTGAAGGAATGACTAGTAACTAAGGCAGTTAGCAGAATCTTTTCTGCCGCTTTTCATGGTAATGGAGTTGAAATAGAGTCACATGACTGCCTCATTAGGACTACATTTGCTATATTCCCCTTTGCAGTTAGGTGTGACCAAGTGACTAAGTCCATTCCTATGGAGTTTGAGTGGAAGTATTTCTCTTATGAGCTGGGACCCTTAGGACAGTAGATAGGCTCCTTTGTGCTCTCTTTTCTCCCTTCCCCAAAGTAGTCATGGGTACTCAGCCTTGATTTGTTGCAGAGCCACAAGATGGAAGGAACTTGGATCCCTGCATGACCACATAGAATACCGAACTGTTATGTGACAGAGAAGAATAAATGCCCTCGTTGTTTAAGCCACATTATTGGTTTTTTCTTAGCAGCTCACCTTTTGTTCAAATTAATGTAAATGGTATTTGAGGGTTGGCTTCACTGAACTTGGCTCTCAGGAGGCTGTACCAGTCCTGCCTTTCCATTGTAATAACTGATCTTGGGGTAATGGGGACCCTTTATGTAAAAGGCTTTGTCAGTCCACTGAGTTAATTCCAAGTTGTATTTAAAATCTCACTTGATGACAAGTGTCATTAAAGACTGATGCACGTTTGTGTAGCGGCAGAGGCAGCCTGATGACACAGCACATCATTGTTTGAGCTCTGTTCCCAAAGATGAATAGTGTTTCTAATGTTAGACCATTATCACTAAAATTGTATAGGGTTTTAAAGTTTTTTTCATGTGTATGTGTGAGTGAAAAGGTAGAGGTTTACTGAAATAAGAACATTTGAGAACATATAAGATAGAAAGTAACCACAACATCCACGGACATTTGCTGCAAGGGGACATCTGAGGTATGTACCCACTACTTAGGCTGCCCATGTGCTAGCACATTTTTCCTAGTTGGAATACATAGAAGATAGGGAGGGGACAGAGCTGCCCTGGCTACTGACCATACAACCTGCAGGTCTGCACCTTCAGGAAAGTTCCTCTTGCCCAGGGCCGACTTCCTGGGGGCACTTGCTGGTACCCCCATTCTTGGTAGAGAGGTGGAGATCGTACTGTTATTGGGGACAGTGAGCATTCACTGAGTGGGTAAGTCTGGGCAAGCTACCTGGGGAAAGGGAGAGGATCCAATGACCAGAAAAGTGCGCAGTCCCATCATCCTCCCAAGTGGGAAGACTCCTATCCTTTGTGATCAAACCCGTGAGAAAGACACACTGGCCAGATGTCTGCAACACCTTCAAGTGGGCCCAGCACCAGCCAGCTGGGTTCCTCTCTGGCACCAGATCCCAGGTGCCGTTCTCTGCCCGCACCCTATGCTTGCCTGGTGGGGAAGGTGGGGAAGGCTTCTGAAGCCAGAATAGGGTCAGCCTCCAGTAGATGGGAAAGTATGTGTGTGTTGTGTGTTGTGGAGGGTTGGGGGAGGGGAGAGAGAAAATGCAGTTCAACAGCACTGTAGCTTACCAGGCTGGGGTATCTGTTTTGTGCTCAAGCTTTTGATTTCCTCCCCTCTCCTTTTCTAGATAGGACTGAACATTAGCAACCTGAGGGCTCCTGCTGGCATGCCCTCCCACCACAGCCTGACGACACCATAGTGGGTGGTGGTCTGTGAACACTGCAGGGCTTACTCGTTTGAGAGGTGAGCGCTGTGAGAATCACATTTTCTTTACCATATAGGAGCAGCCTGCCCCCCCACCTCAACCCCTACCCCAAGAGTCCAAGAGGAGAGACAGAGTTTCCTCAGCATCTCCTCATCCCCTGGGATGGCTTAACCTCTGCAAGGCCTATGGCCTCCATGGCCTGCCTTTGTCCTGAGGTGGGAATGTTGAATGAAGGGGAGAGATCCTGCCCACACCTTGGTAAGCTGGGGTTAGGGGTACAGAACTAGCCCTGCTTTGGCAGAAATTTCCTATTTTTTTAAACTTTGTATTCTACTTCTGTAAAGTAGAATCTTAGTGTATTATATTGGATGTAGGTTAAAATATATTTCAGGTTTAATTTATCAAATACTTCATAAGATTCTGAAAAACACCATGTATTCAGTTATTTCACTACCTGAACAAGGTTAGAACCACCTTTGTAGTGTCTTTTGATTCATACTTTCACATATAATAAGCCAATGGAGATTGTATTCTCCTTTTATAGTCAAGAGCAGGGGAAGTTATAACTTGCCTAAGGTCATATAGCTGGAAGTGGCAGAGCCAGAGTTTTGCCCAAATCTTTCAACTCTAAAGTCAGTGTTCTTAGACGAAGTGAAGTTTGGTGGTCATTCAGAACTAGATTAAAATCCTGACTCCCGCACACACTGGCTGTTTGATGTACGTGCAGTTAATGTCTAATGTAATTGAATGGCTAATATAAACATAACTCTACCAAAAGCTTTTGAGAAAATTCAAATCCTAGTTCAGTAGATTTTTCTTGTTTTTCATTTTATCCTCAGTTGCTGATACCTTCCATATTGGTTCCTAGGACTTCTGTTTTGGAGCTATTTTATGAAACACCTTTGAGATTCACCAGGGGTAGTTATGAGGCAAGCAGCACGTAGGGTTACAGCCCTCACCGCCACAGTGTAGCCTAGGGCTTGGCTTTTCAGCTGCTATATCCCTGGACCCATGGTGGAGTTTGAGAAGAGCCATTTAAGTGGAATGAACTTGGTAATTAAACTCTCCCTTTCTAGGAACCAAGATTAAACGAACATAGTTAACACCTTTTCAGCTTTGCTTACAACATGTTTAGAGATTCAAGAATAAGATTACTACCAGTAGCAGCCCTCTAAGATGTAGAAAAAAATCTCATGCTTCTGGTAATTGGAGAGAAATAACATGAGGGAGGAAAATATCTTGCCTCCCAACTGTCTACTTGATGAAGACAAAGCCAATCTGAAGCACATGCCCTGGTAGGGAAATAAGCATCCTGACTTTTCCCCCATGATTTGGTTTAGCCCATGCCCACTGAGAGTACAAAGCATTAATAGAAAAATAAAAAATAAAAAAAAAAGAAAAGAAAAGAAAAATAAAAAATTAATAGACAAAAGCCCCAACCCTTTAAAAGTTCCCTACTCCCGTGGGTTCCCAGCTCCGTCTTTGGAGGGGATCATCCTTTCAGGGATCCTCATACCAAGTATGTTGGTAAATGAAAGAGTCAAAAAAGGGAAAAACACTTTATGCTAAAAGGCTCTTCTGACCTATGAATTCAGTTCAGTCTCCACAGAATACTGAAGCTGGAAGGAAACCTCTGAGATGGTCTAGCAACTTCTCATTTTACAGAAGTAGAAACTGGGTCGGAGCACTTAACCTGCTTGAGTTAATGAGAGGCGGGTCTCCTAACCCAGATCTCCTGAATCCTGGCATCCAGTGGGCTTGGCACCACCCTGCCAGATCAGCTTTGTGTTGATGTGTATTAGATTAGTAACCGTCTTTTACCAAGGTCAGTTGCTTGGTTCATTTATCTAAGAAACACTAAAACAGGTATGACCATTTAAGAAAACTGGTTTCAGATTTTTTTTTTTTAATTTTATTTATTCATTTATTTGAGAGAGTGAGAGAGAGAGAGCACATGATGGGGGGAGGGTCAGAGGGAGAAGCAGACTCCCTGCCGAGCAGGGAGCCCGATGCGGGACTCGATCCAGGGACTCCAGGATCATGACCCGAGCTGAAGGCAGTCGCTCAACCAACTGAGCCACCCAGGCGCCCCAATAGGTCTTCTGGGTTTTTTTTTTTTTTTTTTTTAAAGATTTTATTTATTTATTTGAGAGAGAATGAGATAGAGAGCATGAGAGGGGGAAGGGTCAGAGGGAGAAGCAGACTCCCTGCCGAGCAGGGAGCCCGATGCGGGACTCGATCCGGGGACTCCGGGATCATGACCTGAGCCGAAGGCAGTCGCTTAACTAACTGAGCCACCCAGGCGCCCCTGGTTTCAGATTCTTAACGGTTGTTTGGAATCAAATGTTTTCAGAGAATGGGCTGCAAGTCACATTTAAAATTGGCATCACAGCACCTTGTGCACACAGAGCATAAAGAAATGTGCCATTTCCTTTGCAAAAAGAAAAGCTGAGGCTAAAATTGATCACTAAGATAGGAATACTTGACCAACTAGCTGGTTCTGTTCAAAAACAATCAGCTCTCGTCCTGTGGCCAAGTCTATATTTACCCAGTCTTTTTGTTCCATATGTCCTTCCCATTTTGTGAAAGCTACTATTAAACTTTATTCCCCCAGTGAAGTTTGATTCTGTGACCTTGGCAAAATGTGAGCTCAGAGGTGCAAAATTCAGTTGTTCCTGCTCATGTCTCCTTGGCCCAGTTTACCTGGGAACCTTCCTAATGTGTTCACAGAAAACCCATGTGACTGTAAGGAGCATTGCCTCCCATTTTCGGATAGCTCCAAAGAATGGCTAGCAAATGGAACCAGGCAATACACAATGTTCTCATTTGACTAATTAAAAGGATTTTTATCGTAATTGTGTTACCAGCATTGAATTGATGAGGCTTTTAGAATTTTTTTAATCTGTTTTTCTCCTTTGTGCATCAGAAAAGATCACAAGTATTTCTATAAACAGTAATTGTGCCTCTCCTCATTAGCTCTGAGGGATAGGGGAATCACCTTCAGGCTCCAGAATATATAACTCATGCATTGGAGATTTGCTGACAGCAGGCTCACTGGTTCAAAGTGTTTCAGAAAAGTTTGAATTAGTTGGTAACATTTAAAAGCTAGATTTGGCAAAAGTTTAAATTCCTGGTTTCTAAAAATGTGAAGGGAGGTCTAAGCAACACTGGTTCTCTCCATGACAGTAGTCAAGCGCCCATTAGAAAAGAGAAGCTCAAGAAACCAAAGTATGCCCATCCTGTGTTAATACCTGTGCTAAAATCCTCTGGGCACTCAATACTTTCAGGACCCATCACCCAAGAACCAAGTGGAGCAGGGACGCATGCCATACCTGGAAAGGTAGCAGACTTGGGTGTCCTTCTAAAGACAGCCCACGATTCGGATCTAAAGTAAGAGGGCTTGACAGCAAATGATACCTCCTTTTACTTCTGGTGCTTTTTATTTAACTCGAGAACTAGAAGGCAGAGCATAAAGTATAGCAAATGCATACACAAAATGAATTATGTTCTTTTAATGAGGGCTGAAAGGAGTCCCCGTTGACATTTTATCAGTGCCCCTTCATGGGCTGTAAGCAAAATGTTCTCCAGTTTGCTCTGAAGTGCAGAAAAACACAAGTAGGGTTCTGCCTCACACATGTAAGAGGTTAGAGACAGTGTTTTAACATTGGATATTTATCTTGGGACCTGACCAGATACTTTGCACTCTCGTTAACTGAATCTGTGAATACCTGTTAGCGACTGCATGCTTACTGTTCTCGCCTAATTCTTGACAGAAGTGCAAGGCAGCGGTTTCTTTGCAGCTAGTCCTTTCTTTGCTACTAAGACTTAGAAGCTTTAAAGGTTACGTTATCATGAGTAAATATTTCTGCATTTCCTTAAGCCTTTAGCATAATCTATATAACCCTTATATAAGGAAATGAAAAAATGAATAGGGAGATTGTTGCCAGAAGCAAAAGGAACTAATCTTTTGACAATGACTTGAAAACTACCAAGGACAGTGACTTCAGCTTCCACCACCATTTCTCCAGGCTGTGTATTACTGTTTACTATTTAGGATTCACCTTTTATAAGCAACATCTCACCAAACACATCAGTCTTTTCAAAAGGATAACCAGTGTTTGCGGCAGAGGTTCTGAGAAGGTCTTTAAAAGGGAGATATTTGCTAACATGTTGAGATTGTGATGGAACAAGCACTCTCCTACATTGTTAGTGTAAATGTTAATCAGGCAGATTACTTTGGGAGGGAAATGGGTGATAGCCATCCAAATTTTAAATACATAACTTCTGTCCCAGGAATGATGCTGCTCAGAATTTATGTGCAGATGTGCCAGTGCAGGATAAGGGATCTATGAGGAATTCAAGTCCATCACTAAGGGCCTGGGTAAGTCCGTTACGGTGTATTATACCATCACTGAAAGAATGAGGTAGATCCATTTGTGCTAACGTGGAATGTCCACATATGAAGTGAAAAAAGCAAATCTAAGCATATATACTTTGCTACCATTTTAAAAGAGATATTTATATAAATATGCTTTGAACGTCTGAAGGACACACTAGAAATGACTAATAGTGGTTACTTCTGGAAAGGGACGTGAGGGACTGGGGATGAAGAGTAAAAAGGAGACACTCCGCTGTCTTTGAGTTTTTCTGGTTTTTGTTTTTTTTTTTTTACCAGATGCACACATTTCCTTTTCACTGCTGCTATGTTTTTCAAAATGAACCAGACGAGGGAGATGATGATATATTGTTGAGTAAGGCGCTCTCCCCCCAGCCCGGTTGTGTGCTTCTCTAGGAGCACAGCTACAAAGCCTTGCCCTAGTCAGGGCTGGGTGTAGGGAATGCTAGACCACTGGCTTATCTACTGGATTCATAGCCCCCTCCCCCAAGGCCTAACAGCTTTTCCCCATTCCAGTAAAGACGTACAAGTTTGTCTCTGTGTCTCAGGTCCTATTTCACACCTATTAGTAGGGGTAGGGGATATGCAGGAGTCAACCATGGCCTGTTAATGGTAGAAGAATGGCAAAAGAAATCATGCCAGAACAGAGGAGCAAAATGGAAGTTAGCTGGATATGTTTGCAAAGATCTGTTCAGAAAGGTAGTTCGTTATTTATTAAGCATTTATTAAATAACTTCCTAAAGGTCCAAAATACCACTAGGACCTTAGTTAGGACTGAATCCTATGTGCAAGAATGGCACATCACAAAATATCAGCTCATCAGTTCAACTCCAAGATAATTTGCTCTTGAAGTAGAACCTCATAAACTCGAAGTAGTGGCACAGAGTCCTCTGAAGATTTTAAAAGAAAAAGTTTTCAAAATTGCTGTTCAAGGCCAACAAATTAGCCGGAAGGGAGGGGATAAAAAGGAATAGCCTCTCTTCAAATAATAAATCTATAGAATCCTCTGCCCTATACAGCAGATCCTTGTAGTTTTGGTCTCTTCCCAGGAAATAATCACCACTTTGTTGAAAATGGGAAAGGCACCCCTACCATCCCCAAAGGGGAAAAAAAACATTCACCCAAACAACTTCTACTTGTTTTTACCATATATTCCAGGGATATGTATGGGTTTGTTTTTACATTTATACAGTTTACATTGCTTGACCCATAAATAGCACTCGTAAGATTAATAGGGCCATAGTTTTAAAGAGTATTTACATAGCCCCACCATGCATACAGAGCCTTTTTAATATTGAAAAATCAAAAAATTTAAACTTTCCATCACTAGGCAATATAAATTTGACCATCTAAGCTTATAAACCCTGACTAAAATACAAGCAATCATTTCATCCATAAATGCTGTTTCTGGTTCCCCAACAAATCTAGCACTGCAGTGTAACAAACGTCTTGCAATTCAGGGATATAAAAATACCAGCTTTAAAATCTGAACTGTACATATGTACATTAATATTTGCACCGTTAAATTAGGAATACACTTAAGTCTATGAAATACTACATTATAAATAGCAGTGTCTTTTTCAATCTGTAGCTGGAGCTAATACAATGCACTGTTTACCTGGCTAATTGAAAGGGGACGAGGTGGTCTCGCACGATGGGATGCACAGAATTGGCTGGGTCAGTGTGACTACGTGCATGCCGCACAACAAGACAGACTGATCAGGACCTGGGCCAACCTGGTGTAGACAAACGACAAACACTATCGCTTTACAAAGGTGGCGGAAGTTCTCCATTGTCTAAAATCAACACCCCCGTCCAATCACCTCGTGACAGTTTCTTGAGGATTCTCTTGAGGACTGGAGACCAAAGCCGCTACACAGAACTGTAATGCACCTGGCAGGCACAAGATGTCACATCAAACTGGCACCATCCAAGGAGGGCAAACTGGAGAAATCACACCTTCCCAATGTTAATCTGACACTGTAAACAGCAGCAGGGGTCTCATTTACATGGGCAAAGCACTTTAAACTATTTTAGCAACTTTCCTATGGTAGAAAGAAGATACGCTTCAAGATGGTTAATGGCAAAGTTTAAACATGATCTCCACAGCTACTAGGTTAAGAAATAATACAGTTTTTGCCCTTGGGTCCCTTTTTCTTCTTGGATTTAGTTGTCCTCTGACCAAACTGAGGAGTGGGGAGTGAGGTTGGGCTCGAAAGGTCATCTGTGTAGTAGGCGTATCTCTGGGGCCGGGGTTGAGGAATTGGTTGTCCAAGAAAATATCCTTCTTCTTCGGAGTCAGAGGAGGAGGAGGTGGAGGAACACCAAGAATCATCGTCCTCACCGTAGAGTCCCAGAAACCTAGGCCCTCCCGGGTTCTGCAGAGCGTAATCGGAGGTGGCATGGGCATACCGTCCGTACAGATCAGCATTCTGGATGTATGCTTGGATCTCCCGGGCACTTTTATTCTGTATAAATTTCTCGTAGTTATCAGGGGTGTAAAGCCGCAGCCTATCCTTGGGAGAGTATTTTCTTTCTGCAACAAGATTCAGAGCATTGTCAGAGCGGGACTTCCTACTTCTCCTGCGGCGATGGTGATGAGACCTGGATCCCCTCTCTTCGAAATGGTAGACCCGTCTTCGAGTCCTCTCACTCATCGGAGGCTGCCGGATTTCGATGTTGTCATAGTTTCCATTGTCGATGACATCATCCGAAAACTTCACCTGCTGTGGTCTGGACTGAGACTTGGATCTTCGAAGCACGGGCAGATGCACCGGTTTCTCCTCAGGCCTGATTTTTTCTGGACACAACTCTGAACTTAGACTCTTCAAGGACTCTGCACTCCTGTGCAGCATGGAAGAGTTCAAAGTCCCCATATTGCTCATTTTCTCACAGTCCTCTCCCTCCATCTCCTCAAAGTTTTGCAGGGAATACAATGAGGGTCTCGGCTTGCTTTCTCCATCCACTGAAGCCCCTAGGAGAAAAGCCAAGCCAAGATGTGATCTTCTGACATTACAAACAAGCCACTGAAAGGAAGCATTTCAAAGAAAATTCTCTCAAATTTCAATATTCGATTAACACCCACTAGGTAAGGCCAACATGCATATGTACTTGAGAAGGTTTGACCTTTATCGACACAAGGGGCACAGCCTCTTTACAAGCCCAGCTCTTCTGGAGCCAGGCGTTAGTGATAGCACATCATGAGCAGCAAAAATTTTAAGCTCTTCCTAAAAGTCTCCTCATTAGTTTATGTAGAACATGACATGTAGAAGCTTCTGCCTCTCAATACGTGTAAGCCAGACTACTTCACTTGAACATCTCTCAAATCAATCCCTTCCTTTGCCTCCGCATGGCCACCCCACCATTATGGTCCTTTTATACCTAGATTAGCGGTCAGCACACCCCAGCAAGGGCCACATCCGGCCCACAGCCTATTTATGGGTAAAGTCTCACTGGAACACAGCCACACCTATTCGCTTACACATCGTCTACCGCTGCTTTCTGCAGTGACAGAGCTGAGGGGCTGCAACAGAGACTGTGTGGCCCAGCAAGTACCACCTAGCCCTTTACAAGAAGTCTGCCAAGCCCGGACCTGGATCATCACCACATCCAGTCTTCCCCTTTCACCTATATGAAATATGCCACTTACAGATTAATCTTACTTTAAAAAAGCTCTTCTCAAAATGGATACTGCTCTCCTTTTTTAACAAGGCCCAGGCAAGTGAAATGAATATAGCCCAGCCGACAGCAAGTGACCAGGGCATGGTGCAGACTATTGTCAGCTGGAGACTTCATAACTTCCTACTTTCTAGAGGGAGCCTGTTTCTCAGCCTGTTACTGTCAAGGAATGTTCAGCCCTAACGCTTTATACCAAATGATGTCTGCTTTTGACACTAAATGTTAAAACACCTACCACAGGGCCTAGCCAACAGGATATGCTTAATTTAGTCCCACCCACATTCCTTAACTCCCCTTTGTTGTAGGCCTCATCTTTGACAAGTCCAACAGAAACCAGGAGGGTAGCGGTCTTCTTCCTCCTTGCCATGGTTATTCCTGACACAGGGCAGCCACTAAAGCCTTTCCTGTATTACAGTAACATAATCTTTATGAGAGGATGGAATGTCGTTAGCTTGACTATAAAACTAGCCACAGCCTTTGCCAGCCATAGGCCAGTAATATTTCTATATTCAAAGACTCAAAGCAAATGTGATACTCAGGAGGGGTGGATTCTAGGCTCAGTCTTGCCTTATTTTTTTAAATTATTATTATTAATTATGTCAGTCTTGCCTTTAAAAACGTATGTGGTGGGGGGTGGGAGGGAGGGGTGCCTGGGTGATAGACATTGGGGAGGGTATGTGCTATGGTGAGCACTGTGAATTGTGTAAGACTGTTGAATCACAGACCTGTACCTCTGAAACAAATAATACATTATATGTTTAAAAAAAAAAGTAGGAAGGGAAAAATGAACGGAGGGAATTGGAGGGGGAGACGAACTATGAGAGACTATGGACTCTGAGAAACTGAAGGTTCTAGAGGGGAGAGGGTGGGGGGATGGGTCAGCCTGGTGATGGGTAATAAGGAGGGCACGTACTGCATGGAGCACTGGGTGTTATACGCAAACAATGAATCGTGGAACACTACATCACAAACTAATGATGTATAGTGATTGACATAATAAAAATTTTTTAAAAAGTATGTCAGGTTAGGCACTTAGCCTCTTGATAACTGTAAAACACAGTAAGTAATACCCACACTCTACAGCTCAGGATCATTTTATGGATAAAATGTAGATAGCTGATATGAATATGCTTTGGAAACAGTGAAATTTTATAATCTGGGTAAAAAAAACATTCAGCTATTTTTGAGCTATCTGTTGCCACAGGGCAATTAAGGAAAATATAAAAGATGCTAGGAGCTTATAAAGTACACAGGCTGATTTTAGTATCTTGAAATTCATACAGCACAATCCAGAGTACAAGATCTTTCAGACAAGATGCAGACTCCATTATCCAAATAAATCCATTTCCTCCTGTTTCAAATGCAGATAATGCCTACTCAAAAAGCTTATATTAAAATGTATATAGATGCACACATGTATGCACACGTTTATTAGTGTTTGGCATTTAATGTAAACTCCTTCCTTCCCTTGATCTGCAGTTTTAAGTGATGTAGCCCCTACTGCTGAACCTAGTTTGTCAAATTTTTTAGTTGCTCTTTTTTCTAAATACCCCATAATCCCTAGATTACGTACCTGTGATATTAGATAAAGCCAAAGAATCCATAGAATCTCGAACACTTTGCTCTGGTTTCAAGTCTGACAAACACTCCAGGGAATCTTCATACCACTGTGTTTGATCATGGTTATATCCTGCAGCCCCGTGGTCCAGATCTAACTCCTGGAGCCTTCTACTGCTTGCAGGGCCTGGGTGGCTGCCATAAGCAGAATCACCCAGTCCATCTTGGGACTGTGCCCAATACATATCAGATTGGTATTTTTTACTTGCAAGGCTCTGGTTATTTTGCTTTAACTCGGTCTTATTTTTAACCATGTTATCAGATATCCAATGCTCACTGGCTCGAATATCTATCTCATTGGGCTGCTGCTGAAAGAGGCTTTTATCACCAAACTTGAGGAGGAGCTGCGTCATATAATCTTCATGCTCGGCCCATTCTTCAGGCTCTTCTGGGGTTTCGTGCTCCACTCTGCCTTTCCAAAATTCTTCATTGACAAAACTTGCTCCCTGCCTAGAGAGACTCAGCTCATCCAACTTCCGAGAAAGGGTGTCATCAGCATTGCCTGACAGGCCAGGAAACTTGTAGTTCAGAGCAGGAGACAAGAGAAGAGACTGTCTACACTGATCAGCTGACCGACTGCTTTTGCCCATCCGGACACTTCTTCTGGAGTCTCTGGATCGGGCGGACTGAAACGCAGAGTCAGAAGAATCAGAGGCATGGACGTCTTCCCCAAGGCTGCATGTTTTTGAGCAATAAATCTGGCCTTGTTTGGGAAGGAAAGGACAGCCCAACAAAGAAGCTTTACACTGGGCACAAGAAAAGCAGGCTTCTGTGGCATGCCAGTGCTGCCCATCGTACGTCATCTGGGCGTGGTCAACCCCTGTTTTGGAAAAGGACAGAGGAGGAGGTTACAGTTCGGTCTTGAAATAAAGGAAGAAAAAATGGACGAGACTATTTGTATGAGGGAACTCTGAGGGTGATGGAAATGTTCTGTATCCTGAAAGGGTTGTGGGTCACACAGGTACAGTTAATTCCCATTATTTGCAAATTCCATATTTTTGAATTTGCCTATTTGCCAAAATTTATTTGTAACCCCGAAATCAACACTTGCAGAGCTTCCAAGGAATTTTCAGGCACGTGCAGAATGACAAAAAATTTGAGCCAGCTGATCTGCACGCTCTCAAGAAGCTTAGCTCAAACAAAGCAATGTCTTTTGTCTCAGCTCTTTAAACAACTGACATAGCCTGGGTCTGTTTTCTCTTTCTTCTATTTTCTACTATCATGTTTTCTTCATTTTTGTGCTTTTTGTTAATTCTGCTGTTTAAAATGGTTCCAAAGTATAGTGCTGAAGTGCTGTATAGTATTCCTAAGCCCAAGAAGGCTGGGCTGTGCCTTCCAGAGAATATATGTGTCCTAGAGAAGCTTCATTCAGGCATGGGCTATAGTGCTGTTGGCTAGTTCAGTATTAATGATTCAGTATATGTTAAATAACATGCCTTCAAACAAAAACATACAGGAAACAAGATTATGGGTTGATCAGCTGATGAAAATGTGACCAGAGGCTTGGAGGAACCCAACCCTGTATTTCCCCCAGGAGCAGTGGTTCCATACTCAATAATTCAGGCAACCTTATAGAACACAACTATTACAAATAATGAGAACTGACTATTCATCTGTCAAAGCACAACACAGAAAAACATTTAAGATCTGTACATTTCACTGTATGTTAAGTTACAGGGAAAAAAAAAAAAGACTAGCCGTTCGTAGACAGACTGTTGGGCATGTGACAGAGCAGACAGGCTGGCCATAGACTCACCGATATGCTCCCCACAGGCTTCACAGTACTCCGCGTACAGAGACTCAAAACAGCCGCAGCAGAACGGGCGGCCATCCTTCATGATGTACCTCTGTCCTCCCAGGGCCGTCTCACACTCAAGGCAGCAGAAATGCTTCATGTGCCAGTGGCGACCCTCGGCCTCTGTGCACTCATCAGCAAAAATGATCTTTAAAAAGAAACAGGATGAAAGAAGATCTTAGCTAGCTATTCTAAAAGCCAAGTAACTGCAGGTTTTCTGGGCAACTGACAGACCATGGCTCTTCAAAAAGCCACTTAGCTAACCTTGTTTCTTACAGCCTCAAGCTTAAATCTAACTCGATTTAGATACAAAGCAAGAGCAGAAATTGAAAATGTTGAAAAAGAGAAACTTAGTGCCTGCTTAAACTTTAAAAAAACAAACACACACAGATTTCTACACTGGAGAGAATTCATTTGGTCGTATTTTTGCTCCCCAACCACACTTCGTTGGCATAATCTGGCAAAGAATACATTAACATTGAAATAATTTAGTAGTCTGTGTTTTAAGAGAAAACTCATTTAAAAAGTCTGCAGAATCACCAGTTACAGCTATCCAGATGCTGCACTGTGTGAACAGCACTTGTAGATAATGCTTCATTTGACCCGGTGGACATCTCCAGATTAAAGACTATTTTTTATAATTTTGGCTTCAAAAAAAATTTAAGATTTGAGAGAGAGAGAGAGAACACAAGCATGGGGGGGGGAGACAGAGGGAGAGGGAGAGAGTTTTTATTTTATTTATTTATTATGTCAGAAAGAGGGAGAGCACAAGCAGGGGGAGTGGCAGGCTCCCCGCTGAGCAAGGAGCCCCATGTGGGACTCAATCCCAGGACCCTGGGATCATGACCCAAGCCGAAGGCAGACACTTAACGACTGAGCCACACAAGCGTCCCGAGAGAGCCTTAAGCAGGCTCCACAGGGAGCCCGATGCAGGGATCGATCTCATGACCCTGACCATCATGACCTGAGCTGAAACCAAGAGTCAGATGCTTAACTGAGCCACCCAGGAGCCCCTCAAAAAATTTTCAAATAGCACATTACTGAAAAAAAAAAAAAACTTAAAAAAATAAATGTATACAGGTAAACACTGAAAGCTTACTGTCACTGATTAAAGGAGACTGAGGGGATATAAAGAATAAATGCAATGAGGTACCCTGGATTGGATCTTGGACTAGAAAAGAGACAGTAGCAGAAAAACTGGAAATCTAAATAAAGTCTGTAATTTAGTTAATAGTATTAGACCAATGTTAATTTCTTAGTTTTGATGCATGCACCATCGCTATGTAAGATGTTAACAGAGGGGAAGCTGAAGGGAGGGTCTACAGAACTTGGTCATCTCTCCAACTCTTCCTAAATCTAAAATTACTTTAAAATAAAAGGCTTAAAAAAAAATTCCTTTCACACCACCACCCCTTCCCCACATGCCCCAAGGGTAACCACTGTTAACTCAGTGTATGTCTTTCCATACTATTTCTGTTTGTACACAGATATGTATAGAACCTTGACTTATTCTCCCTTTATGTAACAAAAAGATTATCTACCACATACTCGACTTGCAACTTGTTTTTTCCCTTCTCAAAATCCATCAAGGACATCCTACTTATCAATGCACAAAGACACCAGCTGCCTTCTCTTTATTAGCTACATATTATTCCGCTATATGAATATATAGGGTTATCTTAAACAGAAAAAGCAGTAGATACTTTATTTTGCTTAGATGTGAACAGTGGAATATTGGCTGACTAGAAGCTTATTTTTCCCAGTGTTAAGGGATAAATTTTTTTACCTCATCACATGCTGAACACCGTGGTTTGAGCAGTTCAGCGTGGTGCCTGCCACAGTGAATTTTTCCATCCTGGTAAAAATAGATGAGGTCGACCAGCAGCTCGTTACAGGTGAAGCAGACAAAACAGGAAGGGTGCCAACACACTCCAGGGCCCGCGCGGGAGGCAAACACTGCAATTTCACCTCCATTTATCTTCAATCCACACTAAAAACAAAAGGATTTGAAATTGGGATGATCCTGCTTTGACGACTGGATTCTCAGCCTTTCCCACTTTATACCAAATCCCATTTTGTCAAGAAAGCTTTTATTTTTGCCCCCTCCTGTTAGTGATTAAATAGCTCTTTAATGCTGGAATATTTCTGATTCTTAACCGGAATGAACATGCCTCAGATACACTGCCACGCTGCTAGACTGTTTCGAAGAATGGTTTCACCCAACTCCCCTGAAGAGTCCTTTTCCTGAGCCAGCCTCCTATTGGATACATTTCCTGCTCTGAGCCAGTACAGATCGGAATGTCTTCGTTCTGTTTCTGCAGTTTTGAACACTAGGTGTACCCCTGCACCTCCCTCCACGCCAAGATCCTAGAAAAGGCAGCATTGCACCCGACGTTTACCTAAGGGCAGCCGGACGCCCCCCGTCATATAGACACATAAACGTGAATACCCCCTTACTAAAAAGCTAGGCTGCCTTTTATTTGGGGGAGGTTTTTGGGGCCCATGCCTGTGCTAGCCTGTCACCTACCCCCAAGCTCACTCCGTCCCCATCACTACCACGAGCTACTCAGCCCGGGAAGGGCTACCTGCTCGCACACGGCATGCATCACTGCTCGGGACAAAAGCTTGATTGCTCCTCTTCCAAGGGCTTCTTTCTTCCGCTGGGCACTGAACACCTGCAGTTCTTTCTTCTCCTCTTCACTCAGAGACTGGCAGTACCGCACCTTCAGAGACAGGCAAACAGACGCACCACACTGGAGCGCACCGTCTCCCTCACCACTTCTTCATTTCCAGAGTTCGAGTTTCAGGAAAGAGCAAGTTGAACTGCCCTGTCCCGGGAATCCCCAATTTACAAATGGCACTATACACCTTTCAAATGACACCCAACCTTGCAGCCTCTCTAGCAAAAGGGAAATGCAATTTGAAAGAACTCTTTTTAAAAAAATAGGGCATGTTTAAACTTTTTTGAGAGACGCTAAAAAAAAAGAAAGACATTAACCTTCCTACAGAAGGTTGAAACTTGTTACTTGGCACACTCACTCTACATTCTACAGGCACCTGACTGCAGGCCTGAACTATCAGAAAGCAAGGACTCTGGGTGAAGGCGCAGGGAAATCTCAAGAGTTGGTAGGCTCCTGATAAGTGGTGGGTGGCGGCAAACACTATAAAAACCAACTTGTTGTTAAGTTTATTGCACGGACCCCCTTTGCTCTCTTAAAGAATGGAAAGCTGTAGCCTCAAGCCAAATTTTAACTGAAGAAAGGCCAAAGAGCCCTAGCCAATGAAGAAGTCAGGTTTACAAGAGGCATCTCAATGTTTAGGGTGTATTTTCTTTTTTTTAATTAGCCTTCTTCCTGTTATTTTACCTCATTATCATGTGGTGGCAACTGGTACAAAAGCTGTTTAATTCGATGTTTCTCTCCAGGGCTGTTAACATAAGGAACCTTTTCCTCTGGTAAGCAAGCGAAATAGAGCTGGATCTGAATATGAGATGGAAAGGAGGACATCAGCATACAGGAAGTGAACGTCTTCACTTATATTCCATCTTTCTAAAAAGTTACCTTTCCCTTTAGGTACAGGGCTTGGCCTCCTGCGGCTGATGAGAAGACCCGCTGAGCCAAGGCAGCAGAACTGCAAGCCTTCGGACAGCGAGCAGCTGGCTGCTAAACTGCTCTTCGGGAATGTAATTTGTAGCAACAATTAGGAGCATCATAAATTATGTACCATAAAAGGTGCACCTTTAGTGCTACTCTTCCTCAGCCGCTCTCCCTAGGGTCAGCCAAGGAGGAGTGCCAGAGGGCGCCGCCGATGACCACACAAGCTGTGGGACGGCACCCCGAACCCCGCCACTCCGCAAACACGCTGCCTCTGTCCGCTGGAGGTCACACGTTACAAACACAAGAGCTGGTTTGTTAAGCTCTGTCAACGCTCCCTTATCGGGGTCTCTCAAGCATCAGCTTTCTTTGCTTCCGTGGGTGTTATTTTCTAAGTACCTGGAGTCCATTTCCCCAATGAAACTGGAGGGAGCCACACGGAGCCGTACTTGGTCACTCTAAGAGGACTTGATTTTTGTTTGGGGTTTCTTCTGTTGTATTGAAAGGACAGCCCTTGGTGAGTCCTGCTGACTACGCTGCAGCGCCGAGAGAGAACGAAAGCGACTCCCCGGGAGAGGAGATGGGGGAATCAGGGCCCTGCCTGCTTCAGTAGCGGAGTTTCACCCAAAACCTGAAAGAAGGGGTTTTCTCCTAGAGGGCAACTTGTCAAAATACTGCTTTCCTAACCTGGGTTCCAGGCTGCGGCCCTCTCTCCCCGTTGTATCGGCCACAGAAGCCCTTCCAGCTCGAAGTGCTTACTTACTGAGGAACAGCCACGTGTGCGCGGGGCAGGCCGTGTGTGACTGGGGAGCCCCTGTTCTCCGAAGAGCTCCCCACCATCACTCAGAAGCAACGGCATACCCGACTGGCACCTGTTACTTCGAACTATGGCTTCACCCTGACATGAATGTCTGTCACCAGCAATGTTTAGTAAGCTCATTATAAGGATATTGGGAAAATAAAAATATGCATATACTTAAAATAACAATAGAGACAAAGCACAAAATCAGCTTCCTCCTCCCCCCCAGTCCGCACTGTGGGGACAGGTTCTTTTATGTGTAAGGTTATCAAAGGTCAAATGACTAAGCAGTAACACTTCAGATGGTTTCTTACAGCTCTGTATTTCTTCTTCTCCAAAGCAAAAGCGTTGCTGAGAACTGGCATGGAAACATTCCTCTTTCCTTTTATTACCTTTTTGTTGTTACTGTTTTTTCAAAGGTTAAATTCCTCTCACTCTCCAAAGAGACTTGTCAGATATCCACATAACAAATGCATGAACAGTGCTCTGGATGTCATTCATGAGAGCAAAAATAGCATCACTGTAGGACTTCTGGATCCAGGAGTACAAAAGGACTGAAAACTTTCATGGAGAAATTAAGGATGACCTTAAAAGGCAAAAATTTACACTATCCAAAGAGTAAGGACCGAGGAAGGTAGCATGTCAGTGTGGTGGAAATGGTCTATAAATTTTTATTTATTTATTTATTTTTAGCAATTCTTTTTTTTTTTTAAAGATTTACTTATTTGACAGAGACACAGTGAGAGAGGGAACACAAGCAGGGGGAGTGGGAGAGGGAGAAGCAGGCTTCCCGCTGAGCAGGGAGCCTGATGCGGGGCTCGATCCCAGGACCCCGGGATCATGACCTGAGCCGAAGGCAGACCCTTAACAATTGAGCCACCCAGGAGCCCCTATTTTTAGCAATTCTTAAGAAATCTTAAATCCCCTGGAAAAACAGCACACACACAGGGCGATGAGGTTCCCACCTGCTCGGGTCTGAGGCCTGGGGGCACCCAGGCATACTCTTCCAACGCGCAGCCTGAGTCATCATCTGACGTGGAGCTCCTCTGGCACCCAAAGGCGAGTTTGCTCATTTTGGGCTCCATCTCCAAAGGCATAGTAAGAAAGTGAAAAGGCCGGTTTCTCAGTCACAGGACATCAAACAATGGCTGCTGTGGACAATATAGGGAAAAAAAACACAAAGAAATTAAAACCCCAAGGCACTATTCTTACGCTCCAAGAACTTTTATTGAATGTTGTTTACACACAGCTGGGCCTAGAGATAGTAACCAAATTACTGGTGTCACCACCCCCAACCAACCCCCAGGCCCGCTGACACTTAACTCTAGGGCCCCACAATTTGGAAACAGCCCCCTTCACGACTCAGCATTTCAGAAAATGCTCCCCAAACTAGCTTGGTCCAGTTGCCTTTAAAGAGTGCCTCTAATGCACCATTCATTAGAAAGGTTCTCAAGAAAACGGCTCCGTTGACTTCCTAACTTCCCCACAGATGAAATCCTCGTGAAGTCCCAGGAGTCGAAGAGAGAAGTGTGAGGGCCTGCACCTCCTCCTGCCTCGCCCGCTCCAGAAACCCCACCCCGCTGGCCGGGTTTCTAGTCTGTTCTCCCAAGAGGCGCCGCTGTGTGTGCCGACTGGGGCCACGGGGCCAAACCGCTTGGGTTTCGGGGTTCTAATCAAGTTCTAGGAGACAGCAAACTGCGTTTACTCACTGAGTGGAAAGAGCAGTTAAATCCTTATATAGCACATTCAATCCAAAGCCTTCACCATCAATGGGCTACAGTCGGCCAGACAGTTCATTAAGGAGTTCCTTCAACAGAAAGCAACTGAATCCGAGCACGAGGTGAAAGCAGAACCCAGCTAGGTGACTATTAGTGTGGAACTGCATTACTAGCGGGCATTCACTGAAAAGTTACACAGTACCCACTATGTGTGTGACATGCTAGCAGCCAGCTACTGGGCAAAGTACATCCAGTTCTGGATGAACAGTCTTCCTCGGACGGAAGGACTGTAAAAGGGGTCAACGCAACGTGGAGTCCCTGCCCTAGAGCCCAGGAACTTTGTTATCGGCACTGAAGTTCCTTGTTAAGTGTCTTCGGATTCTTACATCCTCCCTCAGTTCAAGGTACTAAGAAAAAAAAGATACAAGACTTTCAGAATCAGCTTTCAGAATGCAGCTTTTTATACCTGCCCCTTTCCCTTCACGGAAAAAAAAGAAAGGAAAATATACATGATTAGCCTGACCCCAATTTAAAGAAAACAAGTCTCTGGGAAGTTAAGTGACTTGCCCAAGGTCACACAGCTAAAAGCCAGAGTGCAGTCACGCGACACGATGGACTCATCAGACTTCCAAAAGTTGTTCTGCCTTAAAAAATTCTCTCGCTTGCTGAAACAAGTAGGAAAGGCAGTGAAACCTAAACACTCTTCAGCCTGAGACTGTCCTTTTTCAGCCACAATGTCAAACACAACTCTAAATACTGGAAGTATTTAGAAGTATCAGGAAGTGTTACCTATCACAACCTGATTAAAACGTATGGTTCTCCTTTTATAAATCAAAAGACATAAGAAATTAAAATTGTAACAGTCAACAAATGGAAGGCCAAATGCCCAATGCCTACAATCTTTACTGGAAGAAGGAGTGATGCCACACGGTAGGTAGATATGATTCCAACTAATAAATTTAACTTTCCTTCACCCTAAACAAAAAGTAAAGATGACCTCATTTCCTCCACTATCATTGGGAGGTTATGACCTTTTAAACAAGTCGTCATCTCACACAGGTGCAATTCATTCCCATCCTGACTTAAGAAAGGCTCTCTAAACAGGCACATTCCTTAGTAAAAAAGGATGTGTTAATGAAAGTCAGAAAATTTCTTGGATCTAGTCTTTCCCTTTTGTTTTGGAAAAAGCAACTCCCACGTGTCAAAGGAAGAGAACTAGAGTTTAAGAATTTAATTAGTAACTCAAAAACCCCACCACTGGGGGTTGGGGGGGGGGCGGGGAGACAGGCCTCAATGCAATTTTAACCTGAATCATGAAATATGTGTATTTGGCCCTTGCCAAACCTGGCTGAGGAAGGAGACACGATGGTACCTGCTCTGCAGAAACTTACAAAGAATACAGATATTAAATAGAACCTAAAAATGAAATGTCCTATATTATAAAACAAGAGAAAACACCACAAATTAAGACAAACCATGGATTTTCCAAACTAGCACAAAGATGCAGACTACCAAAGATCTTAATCACTTTTACAGCTGTAATCCTTGATTAGCCTTTTGCAAAAAAAAAAAAATGTACAATTACTATCCTAATCAAGGTAAATCATCATGAGCACTAAATGACACAATCCCCCCCTTCTCCCCATCATCTAGAGGTGCTGGCCACACCTCGAGCCTACCACTCCCACGTATTCATTCCAGCCTTTCCACACTCTACACAGAGGACTGTGTCCACCAACAACGTGAAGGGTCCAACTGGAGGAACGTGAGGGACAGAGTCCTTGTTTGCCTTGTTTTATCTGTTGGCACTCTGACAGCTACCTTATTCCTCTGTGCCCAGCCTGGCATGATTCGTGTTATGACATTTAATCCCCATATCAAGCGGCCCACAGAGGGTGTATCTCGATTCACAGAGGGGGAAACTGAGCCTCAGAACGACCTGCCACAGGACAACTGTCCAAAGGTCAGTAAGTTAACAAGCAGTGGCCTTAGAACTGGGCCTATCTGTGATCTGAAACCCCGCACCCCTCACTGCCTCCTAGAGGTGAAACCCGACTGGGCCAGTTCTCCTTTCTCTGGCCGACCAGTCATGCTCCTGAGCCACAGCCATGACAAAGGACGGACCGCAGGGGGACCAGCCGCTTTGCCCAAGCAGACGCTTCGAGGAGAGCACCCAGGCAAAAAGGATTATAAAAATTCAATGGCCTCATGAGCTGTTGATTCAGAATCTGTTCTCTGGAGAAGGCCTCTTTTTGCTTTCTATCAGGAGATAATAACTTAAAATGACAAAACATTCCATTCATAAGCAAGGTCTCAGAGATGACAAAAAAATAAACATTAAAAAAAATAAAAGTGACATAGCATGACCTCCACTTGCCAGCTTGTAGGAAGAGACCCTACATGACCACTAGCTACTTTCTCTTTACTTGGTAACACACACATTTGAATATGGATTTTTCTTTTCTTTTCCAAAAATTCCCTGTGTCAGTAGACCCTTAGATTCTTAAGTATATCTTTGTCTCATACTGGGTCATAGGAAAGCAGCTGACTGCTGAGCATGGTTCCTGCACTTCTAAAATGTTAAAGTAATAAAAATGGTAAATCTGATTTCACCTCTCTCTCTTACTGTAGGCATTTACATCACTGTATGGTATCTGCTTTGACAACACAAAGAAAGAGGGGAGCCTGGACATTCCTTATGCTTTGGGTCATGATGTAGCGGCTTCCTGATGACATGTTCTCATCTGCCAAAATACCACCTTTTAGACCAAACACGAAACCACGCGTGAAATGAATCGAACAGAAAAATTTCATTAATTTCATTTCCAGGTGTTGTCGCTTTAGGTTGGTCATGTGAAATAGGTACACAAATCAGATCTACAAATGAACTGAATTATAATGGGAATAGAGGTATTCACAGCTGGGATCAGGAGAGAAAATTTCTCAAAATTTGTTTTTTGCAGAACCACACTTAGATGCACAAGAGCGGCCCTGTCCTATGCCCTGTCCTTTATTAATTTTGTATTTTACTTATTTTTGTAAATTTTTATTTTGATGTAATTTCAAACATCAGAAAAGATGGAAGAGTGAGGAACTCCTATGTAGCCTTTACCCAGACTCATCGTCTACATTTTGCTTCATTCGTTTTATCCTCCTCCTCCTCCTCATTATCACAAACACTACACACACTTTCCTGGGGACCATTTGGGAATGTGTATTTTTTACGTTCTCTTACCTAACTACAGCTAAATTAAACATGATATATTTTTTAAATGTTTATTAAAAAAAAAAACTATGGGGGGCGCCTGGGTGGCTCAGCTGTTAAGCGTCTGCCTTCAGTTCAGGTCATGATCCCAGGGTCCTGGGATCGAGTCCCACATCGGGCTCCCTGCTCCACGGGAAGCCTGCTTCTCCCTCTCCCACTCCCCCTGCTTGTGTTCCCTCTCTCGCTGTGTCTCTCTCTCTCTGTCAAATAACTAAAATCTTTAAAAAAAAAAAAAAACTATGGGCAAGGCGCCATGTTAGATGCTTGAGATAAACAGAATAAAAAGCCAAAATAGCTTAGTATTCTGTGATTATTGTGAGGCAGGTTTATTGTACTGGTCTTGAAATGCTGTAATTAACCGAATGAACTTAATCATATGTGAATGACAATTATGCATTAACCAGTTCTGTGCTAGGTTTGCCCCTGTCGGGGAAATGAATCACTAGAGGCCCCACCTCTCCAATATCTTTTTATAATTCTGGATGTAAAGAAGTTTCATCATGCAGGGAAAAAAGTAAAACAGTTTTCAGGAATGGGTTTGTTCAGGTTTCAAACAGTCTGACCCTTAAGGAAATGTGTAAAGGAACCTTTAAGAGCTACCAGCTCTGTCAAAGATGCCATCCAGGTGAGCACAGCAAGCAGGTATCTGAATCCAATTAGAGCAGGTTAGGAGGTATTCGCAGATACTATTTTGAAGAGAAGACTAAAAGCCAATTAGAAGAATCAAGGAGAAAAAAAAAAAAGAAGAAGAATCAAGGAGAGAAATGAATGACAAACAGAAGAAAAGAGCATGGACATAAGGGAGGGGAGAAAAAAGCCTGAGGTTGGGCAGAGAGAAATGAGATATTTTTTTCTTAGAAAGACAAGGATTATCATGGGGGTGCCCATGCAAGCCATGCAACAGACGGTGGAAGAGTTTCATTTCCCTCCTTTATCCCTTTTCTCTCTTCCTTCAAAATCGTTAAATAGCTGCTTCTCACCATGTAAAAAGACTCAAAGACAAACAGCTCGCAGGTGTAGGACTTCTCAATCATCATATAATTGTCAAGAGAACATCTGACCCAAGGGATAGATCAATACTTAGGAAACAGGATCTGGGGCTTCAGCACTCAGTAAACTCAGCCCTGGAGTCTTCATACCTCTCACAAGTCACTGAACATCGTGGGGC